ACTTTTTTTGTGAAAGGGAAACAAACTATAACTTAAGAGGCGTTTTGAATTTTAAATTGCCTCGTGCTCGAACGACAAGAAAAAGTTTTTGTGTCTCTGTTTGTGGTGTGAAATTATGGAACAACTTGAAAATAGAATTAAAACTTTGTTCGAATATACATGTATTCAAAAGGGCAATTAAAAAATTTATTATTTCAAAATATTGTGCGGAAGAAATGAGTGCTTAGGGTATATGTGTGCATGTATATATGTATGTGTATGTATATGGGTGTATATATGTATATATATATATAGGTATGCATGGGTATGTGATGTGTATGTAGGTATGTATATATATTATATCTGTGTATATGATGTGTACTATATCTGTGTACATAATATACATATATTTGTTGTTGTCTGTTAGATTGTAATGCAATGGAGGTACTGTGCAATTATTGCTTATAATGTACAGGAAATGAGAAGTCTGTATTTGTTCTTCGTTAATTTGGGACTGTAGAAAAAAGGGGTGGGGTTAAATAAGTATTTACTTCCTCCCACTCCTTTTTCGGACACAAGGAAAATTCTGCGTAACATTTATTTTGCCTGTTATTATAGAATAGAAATAGTTACTTTTTGTGTTATATCTATGTATTTACGTTTTTGTCTTTTTTCATTATTTAGTTTTTTGTTTTTGTTTTTTAATTTATGTTCTATGTATTACTGTCCGAAATAAATAAACATAATAATAATAATAATAATATCGTTACACCCCTAGTAGTTTTAATACAAAAAGAAAAAGTCAAAAATCCTCAACAAAACAAATTATACTTGCTTTTTCAAACCTTATTTTGGCTGCTATGTTTAAACCGGATGCCCTTCCTCTCTGTCACACTTTATTGCAACTGGATAGGCAACAGGGATTAAGTGTCTTGCCCAAGGACAAAACAAAAGCAACGTTAGAACTTCTCATCCTCCTGCTGGTGTTAAATTACAATGGTTAAAATTCTTATTCAGAGTTACACTGAATACATTACGCTTAGGTCAAAGTTAAAAATGTAAAAGCAGTCAAAGTGTCTAATGGGTGCTATTAAAGGGTTTCAGAATGAGTCATGAAAATTTGGCTCTGTTTCCATAGCAATTAACAATTCAAAATAAAATATTACATCTTTTGACTGGTCTAAAGTCTTAAAAATTTCACTTATAACAAAAAGTTGGAAAAAATACAAATGTATACAAAACAAATTTTTTGTGACTTGGATCAAACCACAAATTAGTTTATAACATTACTAAATAAACTTTATGTAAATAAATAAATAAATACAATAAGCAAAATTAAATTTAATATAAAAATACAAAATAAAAATAATTGCAAAATAAAAATTTAATAAAAATAAACAAAATGAAAATAAAATTAAATATAAAAATATAAAATAAAAATAACTACAAAAAAAATATAACACAAATAAAACAAAATGAAAATCAATTTTAATTAAAATATAAAAATACAAAATAAAAATAAAATACAAATAAAATAAACAAAATGAAAATAAACTGTAATTAAATATAAAATACAAAATAAAATAATTACAAAATAAAAATATAATACAAATAAAATAAACAAAATGAAAATAAAATTTAATAATTAAATATAAAAATAAAAAATAATAAAATACAATAAAATACTAATAACATTTTAAAATAGATTAAAATTAAATTACATCAAGTTAAATGAAGTTAAAATTAATCAAATAAATTGCATACTCTGCTTAGTCTGTTACAACCGAAGCTTAGCCTATCCCACAGCTAAAGCTAACAGCTAACTCCACACTATGCAGTAAAAATACACTTGTAGTACTTCAAACTCCTGCAGTATCGAACCACCAGTACTTCAGCGATGCTTCAGCTTCTACCTCCTGTCCCGCTCACTCTCCTCCTCCTCCTCCTCTTTTAGTCTGAGCATGTGTTCGGACATGTGTAACCTTGAAGTAGCCTAATTCTCTCTCTCTTTCTCTCTCTCTCTCCCTCCTCTCCTCTTTTCATTCAGCCTTTTTTTTTTTTTCTTTCACAAATGAACCTCGCGTCCTTCACACTACACCTGCCCCACTACATATACGTCTCCACACTATAGCCCACTTACCTTATTAGTTCCAGTGTATTTCTCAACGCGTTTAGACTCCTGGTTTTTCTCATACTGTACGCTCCTCATCCCTCGTTAGTTGTAGTTTTGGGGACGATTTTGTGCATTAGCGAGCGGGTTCGGCGCGTTGGCTTTGGACGTAGAAGATAAAATGTGTGTGTGGCTTTGTTTTTGTGCCAGTTGGAAATCTTGGGAGGAGAGAGGGAGAGGAAGAGGGAGAGAGATGGAGAGGAAGAGGGAGAGAAGAGCGAGAGAGAGAGGGAGGGATGCAGCAGCAGCAGCGGCAGCAGCGGCAGCGGCAACGCAGTGTAAGCAACTCTATAGACTTCATAGTATAGAGGTCGGAGAGAAAGGACGATCAGAGATGGAGATAAAAAAGATACGAGACGCACAATTTCTTTTTAAAGCGCTATTTTCTGATCTGCTGTAATGTTTCCTCATCGCAAACAGACCTGGAGTTGTGTTTCGTTTCATTCACACATGTTTAACACACAAACCCGGCTAGGGAGTTCTTTTATCAACCAGAAAACACTAACATCCACCTTGTGATGTCATGTGGTAGTACAAGAAGCGCTCCACTGTGTTTTTAAACTTCATACAGCTTCACTAGAGTCAATTTTGCGTAATATAGGACCTTTAAATGTAAAACAGATGAGCACTATTCTAAACATAGCAAAAAAAAGGGTAATTTCCTGCTATTTAAAGCTGCACTGGGGATCTTTTCTAGTGCACGGTCCAGAAATTTGCTTGACTCTATATTAGGGATGGGCATTCGATTAAATTTTCTTAATCAATCATCAGGAGAATTAAAGATCGATTATCGATTAATCATGAACGTTTTTATATTCAAATTATCATCATTATTTTTACTATCTGCACGACTGATCTGCATAAATAAATTCAACTTTACGACATATAAACCGTGACCACTCTAACTCCACATCAGCCCGTTTGACATTATAATGTGTTTAATGCAGATTTGCGCAACTCTCACAGAAACGAAACTTAAAACCGCATCGCTAATTTGCAGAAACTAAGCGAAGAAAAAAACAGCTCTTGCGTAATTAAATCCGTTTAATCATTTTCATTAGGAATTAAGACTATGTTTACACTGAAACGAATCAGCGTATCACCGTATTGGAAACGATCTGCGTCCAGACACGTTTCTGTGTCCGCAAGCCTTCCCCATACACACAGCTTTGAGCATATTTGTTTACATTTTACAGAAACTAAACTTAAAACCACATGGCTAATTTGCAGAAACTGAGCGCTCAAAAAACAGCTCCCTATTGTGCGCTGACGCGGTTCAGCTTCTGTCGGCTAAAGGACACGACTCAGTGGAATATGAGTGTTGTTTCTGTGACAGGGGGGTGTTCTGCTCTTCTGTCGTGTTGGAGATGGTTCATGTGAAACTTTTCAGAGATTATAGGTGAGTTTCATTGTTGACAAAAGCGCGCGTTGCATGATGGGAATTATTTTGGTCGGCGGCAAGAAACACTAATTCAACATGACGGACGGAGCGAGAAAGCACGTAAAGGGTATTGATCCCGGTTATTTATCCAGTCTAACGGCAGAGGACCGAAGACGATTTGACCAGAAATTGGTCATAAGCATCGATGGAGCCAAATCACCCTTTTCAACCCCGACAAAAGGTGGAACCAAACCAAATTTCTGGTCTGAATCACCAACTACCTGGACAAATATTCACTTCTTTGATATCCACAATGACTTGGTGGAAACTCCTGGGCCATTCACAGCAGAAAAGATGAAAACCTCCAAGAGTCTGGATGTGTTGTTGAACTTGTCGAAGTCCACGGTTTGTTAGGATCTTCTACGTTTGCTCTGCGAATGTTTGAAAGCCGTTTAATTCACCGTTAGTGGTTCTTTTCACTCAGAATACGAAAAAGACATTTTCCTTCTTCTATTCTTCTATTTGTGCATCCGATAATGCAGCAGGAATTTACCATTATCGGGGATAAATACGCGAGGTTACGCACTGTGTTTGACGCTATCCTGTTTCTTGCCTCCGACTAAAATATTTCCCAGCATGCAACGCGGGCTTTTAATAACAATGACGTCAGCTGAAACTCGCCTATACGTCTGCAGGTCGTACGCACAGATCGTTTACATGAATGGACATATATTCTAGCCTCTTAGCGTTTTGGCGGTGAATTACTTCGCGGCGCACAGACCTACATCAGAGTATCAGTGTTTTCAGGAGTCCACACAGTGCCGGATCAGATCTGTACTCGGATGAATTCGTTGGAGCTAGTGGCACCAAATCGTTCCGTCTCTGGAGCCGTTTTCAATCACATTAGTGTGAACGAACACTGCATCCACAACGAAAACGACTCGAATACGAACTAGTGTGGACGGGGCCTAAGCGTTTACATGGTCTTTTTAAAGCGGAATAAATTTTGATTCAGAATTAAATCATTTTCATTCGGAATTAAAGCTCTCATGTAAACGTGGCGACTGTGAAATAACAACAACTCCAAAACAGAAAAGTTACATAGTTAAAGGTGCACTATGTAACTTTTCAAGGGTCCGTCACCTTCTTCTTCACGTTTCTATGGATATGTCACTGCTCAGCTTCAAATGTTCCACAATATGGCATTAAACAGATTTACTTTACATTTACTCAATTACAGGTGGTTTTATAGCTCAAAAATACCTCAAAAAACAGGCGTTCTGACTGTGAGCAGCGTCGCCTCTCCACAGATCTGACCTCTAACTTGGCTAGGTTTTGTCTCCATGAAGACGGAAAGGTTTAATGCTGTACTGTGAAACATTCCACACAAAGCAATAACATCTCCATGAAGAAATACAAACGTAAAAATGTGAACTTCGCCGTATTTTTAATCACATTTCTGGTACTCACTTGTAAGGCGCTGTTCAGGAAGCAGCTGTTTTGTCCCGGCTCGTTGCTCAGTCCTTTGCTCGGCGCGATCGAGTTCATATTTCGGGGAGTCACCAGTCCGTGTATCCCTCCGCCTCCTCCCACGGGCGAAGCACCACTCACGCCCCCTCCGCTACCCGACGCGAAGTAGTTCCTCTTCCACGACATCACTACCCGGACGGAAGGGGCGGGGCTACGGACGGGACAGCGGGCTCTATGTTACTCCCATGAGATTGAGTGACGGAGAATGAGCGGAAAGGCGAAGCAAAGGGAAGTCGAGGAATTACAAAACGGCGGCTGGAAGAGGTATTTGGAGATTGGGCACCCATACAACAGACTCCGGCCGTGGTTTAACTTTGAAAATCCAACCCGCTTAGTTCTTCTCTGAGCTCCTTGGGATTAGGACTTTTTTAAAGGCATAAGTAGAAGATGTCCAGAGGTTTCTTAGGAGATTGAGTTGGAGGGAAAATGATCAGAAATCCCACGAGATGCAGCAAGAGTCGGACGCGTTGACTCCACCTGCGAAACAAACAGAACAGAGAAAAAAAATACAGTAAGAAATCGCACCAAAGCATCTACAGAGAAACGTTTAATATGCAGTGTTGGGGAGTAACAGATTACATGTACCGGAGTTACGTAATCAGAGTACAAATTATGAGTAACTGTATTCAGTTACAGTTACTGTTTCAGTGAGTGGTAATTGGATTACAGTTACTTTGGTAAAATAAATGGATTACAGGGCGGTATTTTCCTGTTTTTACATTTCGGGCTATATCCCCAGGTCTAAACTAGATCTAAACCAGGTCTAAAACAGGATTAAACTAGATCTAAACCAGGTCTAAAACAGGATTAAACTAGATCTAAATCAGGTCTAAAAACAGGATTAAACTAGATCTAAAACCAGGTCTAAACCAGGTAAAACCAGGTTAAAACTAGATCTAAACCAGACTAAAACAGGATAAACTAAAAACCAGGTCTAAACCAGGACTAAAACCAGGTCTAAACTAGCTCTAAACCAGGTAAACCAAACAGGACTAAACCAGGACTAAAACCAGGTCTAAACTAGCTCTAAACCAGGTACAAACCAGAACTAAACTAGATCTAAACCAGGTCTAAACCAGGACTAAACCAGATCTAAACTAGATCTAAACCAGGTCTAAACAAGGACTAAACTAGATCTAAACCAGGTCTAAAACGGGACTAAAACAGGACTAAACCAGGACTAAAACCAGGTCTAAACCAGCTCTAAACCAGGATTTAACAGGACTAACTAATGCTGTGTGGGCGTGTCTCCTCCTCTTCTATCAGTAATATTTTTAATTTGGTTGAGTAAAGTCTGGGCTTTTTATTTTCTTTTAGCAAACAAAATATCTTATGTTACGATATTCTAGTCTTTGTTTCTCTACAGCAAATCAAGTAATCCAAAGTATTCAGATTACGTTACTCACTTTAAGTAACTTGATGGTTTACGTTACAAACTACATTTTGGTGTATGTAATCTGTAATCTGTAGGGGAATACATTTTAAAAGTCACCTTCCCAACACTGTTAATATGTAACTTTTCCATAGTCAGGTCTATGGAGAGTAGGGTTTATCAAAAATCTGATTCTAGGCCTTTATTTATCGATGAAGTTGCCGATACGATACATATCTCGATACAGTGCACGTTTGATTCAATACGATATAATTCAAATCGATTCGAATAAAAATGTACAGCTAAATCATGGCTGGGATACTAAAAGTCTTTCTTAAACCACTTCTTGTGCAAAGTTCATATGAAACACAAACATTTTAATCCTCAAAACAGTGAAAATGTCAAATGCGTCGCATAAACCAGTTTCCTTCCACTAAACAAGCAACAAAACTGTAGAACTGTAACAAAATAATTTAGTAAAATATACCAAAAAATACTCTTGGAAATATATCGATACAGCAGCCCACGATATCATCACATGACGCGATACTAGGGGTGTAACAATAACCGAAATATCGTGATATCGTATCATCAAAGTTCTCACAATAATATCGTGGACCATCACAATATATCGAATTACAAGTGTCTTTGCTTAATTTAAGAGTTATGATGCAGCGATAGCTAAAAAACAACAGAGGGAACTACATAGACCATGATCCTTTGCTCCATTTCAGTGCAGACTACAAGAAGAAATAACAGTTCTAAACCACTTTCAAGTCTTAGTTCTTTGGATTCTTGTCAAGGCATTTTAAGAGAAAAAGTCACATATTAACAGTGCATATCGGAGATAAATATCGTACCGAGAGATTTGGATATTGTTACGTCATTAATCATGAGCCTCCCCACCATATCGTGATCTTTCTCAAGATATTGCAATAAATATCGTACCATGAGGTTCATACCGTGATACGATATACCGGTATTTTGATTTTTTTGCACACCACTATTGCTCAGTTTTGTTTTGTTTTTATTTTTTTTGTGTGTGTGTTTGGAGTGCGGAGCGAGGCGTGAAGCGAGGTTTCAATCACAACAAAAAACAAAAAAAAACAATCAGATACTAATCGATAAAAGCATCAAAACCAGATACGCATTTGAGCAAGTATCAGTACTGACACAAATCATATCAGTCCAATGAGGTTCATTTGGTCTTCTGATAATTGATGTGAATTAGGCTCTTTTTTCAGATCAAGAGTTTGTTTTCATACCTGACAGTTTCGACTGCTCACTGTGGTCTTCCTCAGAGTCACGTGATGTTGCTGTGACGTGTCCGTTCAGCTGATTTATACAGGTTTTACAGTCCGACTTCCTCAGGACAGTATCCCAGGTGTGTGAGAGTAAAAAAGCCCCCTCGTCCCGGTTTATCGTCCTGTGGGCACATTTCCGTATTTCGATTGCCTCTTTAATCCAGCGACAGCCAAAAACTGTTGAAATCAGCTGAACGGACACAGCAACATCACGTGACTCTGAGGAAGACCACAGTGAGCAGTCGAAAAAGTCACATATGGAAACAAACTCTTGGTCTGAAAAAAGAACCTAATAACAAATCATATCATCTTGGTATCAGCATCGATTCGATATAGGATCAAAATTGAGTTTAAATGTCAGTAGAGCTCTCCACTACAGCACGGTTTCCCAATTTTTTTTCTGGGGAACCATGTTTTAAAAGTCACAAACATTCGCGACCCAAGTCAATAGACATTATTCGTAAATCACAAAATAAAGGTGGATTTGACCATTATTGAGCATTAATGAGGACATTTTATTTTTAAAACAACGGATTCCAGGCACTCAAAAGAAGTAAAAATCGCACGAGGAAAAATATAGTTAAAAGGCTTTTATTGAAATGGCCAACATGTTTCGACCAAACTTGTCTTCATCAGGTCTTAGTGACGACCAGTTTGGCTTTGGCCATTTAAATAAAGGCCTTTTAACTATATTTTTCCTCGTGTGATTTTTACTTCTTTCGAGTGCCTGGAGTCCGCTGTGTCTTAAGTTTTGATCCTTTTTCCAAGTGCACCTGCTCCCACTGACTGGAACACCTGCAGCAAACAGCCACATTTTTGCTTTTTCTGAGGATATTTTATCGTCGACTGAGTGATCGTGTCTCTCTGAACAATTAGTATTACTCAAGTTTTTAACAGTAACTGAAGCAGCAATAAAAGGATCCAGAAGTATCCTGAAGTGGACTGCCCCTTTGCTGATTTATCACGCATCTTTTTGGACAACCAAGCAGCGTTTTGCAAATTTAGCTGCAGAAACACTCGTTCAGGGCAGGCAGATAGGACTCGCTGACTCACTAGGGCCCTCATGTGTCAGAAATGTATACTGCAGACCGACATGCAGACCGTGACAAGGCGATATAAAAATAAAAATCTCTTGTAACCCACCAGAGTCTTTGGAACAATGCACTAGAGCACAGGTGTCAAACACAAGGCCCGGGGGCCAGATCCGGCCCTCCAAGACCTTTAATGTGGCCCTTGGGTGATTTTCTACTAAAATATTTTAATTATATTTTCTATTAAAATATTGGTAATTTTCTGCGGTGCTTAGCACAGCAGAAGTCTCCAGCGTCTCTGTACGTGGCCCCTCCCACCAGAGCAGCACAAATGAAGACTTGTCTCTTTCCAAACGCTCTTAAAGGACGATCGTTTTGACTGTTGACCGTGACACCCTCATCAGAAAAATGTCCAACATGAGAAAAGTGGAGCCAAGTGCAGGATTTTCCAAGAAAAATTGACTTATTCCTATTTGCATACAAGTTTCAGGTTGTTCATAATATTATAATAAGAAAGAGTTCATCAATTAAAACAGATTTCTGTAATAGATTTGTGTTTCTCTGCACGAATATTTGAACTTATTGTTATTTTTGGGGTTTATATGCCATGAGTTTTCTGATCCGGCCCCTTTGGGATCAAAGTAGGTTGGATACGGCCCCCGGACCAAAATGAGTTTGACACCCTGCACTAGAGGTTAGGTTAGGTTTAATTTGTTTTGCAGATGCAGAGGCAGGTCCCACATTTCACATTTTCATTCATCCACATTAAAATAAAACACATTTAAACACATTTGTATTAAAACACAATTACAAAATAAAGTAAGTAAGTAAACAAATAAAGTGTTTGAATAAAGCTCCAGTGTAGAATGGTTTGCTCCATAAACAATGAGTTAAATTCATCCATCACGCTTGGCTAAAATCTGTCTTTAAATCTTGTCTGCTCACAAGAATTCACGTTTCTGTCATGAAAACACAGCGACAGGAGAGGGGAAAAATCCACACATCCAACAAAAACTCTTAACTATTTCAACTTTTAATTTAATTCGCGACATGTGGACGGTTTCATCCAAAATATTTGTACTGATCCGTGAGTAAAGAAGAGCTTTAGATCCCCCTGAAATCATGTGAAAATGAGCAGAGGATTTTACAAAGAGGCTCTCACACGGCACAGATTGGGCGATAGAATTTGGAAGGGAGGGAGAGAGGCTAGAAAAACGAGGGAAAGAGAGAGAGATGAAGAGAGGTAGAGAGAGAGAGAGGGATGAATTAGGGAATTATTGAGAGAGAGGGAGGGTAAGTAGGAGGGAGAGATGAGAGGAGAGAATATTTGTACAGTTAGAGAGAGAGGGATGATGAGAAAGAGGGGGAACAGAAAAGAAGGAGAGACAGAAAATATATGAAGAGGAGAGAGAGAGCGAG